AAAAAAATTCTACATCGAATGAGCATAGTCTCAAGGAATTTTAGAGGGATATGTTTGGCCTTATAGGCCAAAAACTATATAGTTTTTGAGCCTATCTTCTATGGTCAATACTTTTCTTATCATCCGATGAGTCTTGAAAAAGAATGCGATATTTATGATCAGCACATTGAGATCTATCAGTTTATCAGTCTCACAAATGAAACACAAACAAAAAAACTTTTTTGAATACCTGAGGGGAAGCCCAGGCATGAAAACATGGGCTTATCATGAAATATAAAATAAAGTTGTAGAGAGTTTTCAGAATCCATTGGTTTAATAAAATAAATAGAAATTTTGCTGTTGTGAAGAACTATACACCACTTTTAGCGGATGCGTCGTAATTAAGGAAAAAAACTTGCTGGGCGTCGTTATTAGGGAAAAAAAACTTGCTGGACATCGTGATTAGGATCACTTCTTAAAAATCGATTCTGGAAATTTTTCTCATTACATTTTACATTCTGTTAAAATAAGGTTAGTTTTTCGTGAACCGCTAGACAATAGTAGAGTTCGATCCGCTCTACAAAATTGTCTAAGAGACCATTGCTCGATTTCTCACAGAAAGCGTGAAAAAAGTTATTTTTTCTTTAAAAGCATTTCTTCGCTAGAGTTTTGCTGTAGCGTCGTTGTGCGGGTCAATAATTTTGCTGGGCGTCGTTGTTAGGGAATCGAACCCTAATAACGACGGTTGAACCCCTTCATCGTAGACCGCTAATTTCTCGACGATAACAAGTAAGCAAAATGAAACCTATTTATTATTGGAAAGGGGAGACTCCAAGCATTCTCCAAATATAAAAATATTTTTTATTGGATGTACAATAGCTGGGAACCACACGAAATAAGGTAAGACAAAATTTTCGCGTCGTTTTTAGGGAAATCGATTGTATATGTATGGGACCCTACCCGATGTATCACCGAGAAATAGAATCTCGCAATCTAATGGGTCTATTTTTTACCAATTAGATTTGAGGAGGCCTGTTCTTTCATATTATCTGGGGAATTTCTAACAAGTAACGTTCATCGACATTGAATGCCGATTCACTTGGCCCTAGACTGACAGAATAATAACAAACATGTCCTTATATTTTGTGGAACTCACGTATGTTTTCGAAGAAAATAGTGAGTGTAAGTTTTAAGTTCGAGGTTGGCGGCTCCTC